CGGATCAGCCAGGCTGTGGTTCGTACGTTGGACTGCGTGCGGCCAGGAGTAACAGCCTGGTTGATCAGGTCCTGATCCACTGGGAGGCTTGGTCGTGGACTGGGCCGCGGGGGCGTTGATCCCCAGAATAACCTCCAGGTAGACTCCAGGTATGCTATCTGCCAATCCCTAAGTACCTTACCCTCTTCCATACATTTATTAAATAATAGCACCAACCTCTCCAAAACTATATCCCCACCTGCTTTTAACATTTCTATCGAAAAAATGCAACTTAATGTATGTACATGTATTTTATTTTCACTCTTTAGCTTCCAACTAGTACTTGGTCATGTTAGCATTGTTCTTTATATCACCATCTGAAGTTGCCTGGGCATCGAAGTGTCAAGGGTGGAGAAGAAGGAGGCTTCCATGTTGGTCCAAACTTCTTCAGTGCCTCCTTCAGGTCCGTGATGTTGGTGGGTCGAACTTTTGCAATCTCATTTTTCATCACCTGCCAGGCATTCTTGATAGGATTTAGGTCAGGGGAATTGCTTGGCCACTCCAAAACCCTGATATTGTCCTTGAGGAACTTTTTCATTCTTTTTGACTTATGGGAGGGGCACCATCATGAATAAAAAAAATCACACTCGTGAATGTTCCAAAATGTTAGCATGTGGTCCCTTAACACCTTGATAATTAATTACTTCCCTTCATTGTAATGTTCTTAGGAAAAAAGTATAGTCTACCCCTGTCCTTATAACCACTAAAAGCATCCCAGACCATAACACTGTCAGGGTGCTTCACTGTCTTCACAGCATACCCCAGGTCATAACGGGACACACCACTGGGACGACAGATGGTCTTGGGGCTGCTCCTGATGAGCCTGAAGGTACTCTCGTTGCTGAACATCTCCTTCTGCCATTGGTCTGAGGTCCAGTCTTTGTACTTCTTGCAGTTTCTTCTTCATGGCTTCAGTTAGCATGGGCTTCTTGGCAGCACGTCGAGCAGGCATTTTCAGGTCCTTTTGCAGTCCTTGCTGAATGGTTTCACACTGCGACGTCTTTCAGGAGTGCAGGATGCTGTTTTTTGAGGTCTGCGGCTGTTATTGCAGAATCTGATAACACTCTCCTCTTCAGGATCTTCTCTGTGTGAAGAGAAGTCTTTTTTGGGGCCCCAGACCTTACTAGGTGGTACGGTGCCAGGTGTCAGTGAGGGAGCTGCTTTCTTGAGGTTGTAAATTGCCATCCTAGTCACCTTCGGATCTGTGGCTACACATATCACAGATGTGCCTTGCTCTAATAGGGTGAGTGCACAGGTCTGCTCTGCAATTGAAAGTTTAGTTTGACCCATTCTGACCAATTTGAGCGGTGATATAGCTTGGCAAAGTTCGTGGTTGAGTGAAAAAATGGGCATTGAGTACCAACGTAGCAGTCCTTGTTCCTCACCGAGCTCTGGCAAAGCACTGAAGCATGGCATGGTGGGGAACGTTGGAGTAAGATGGGCTCCAGTACACTAAGTCATCACAAGCTTTGCCCACTTTTCCTGTGGCGGAAAGGCAAGTGAAATGTTTACACCAAAATCTAGTGTATAGATTTTTTTGCATTGGAAATGTATAGATTTTTTTTGTGGCCACTGTATATTACATGTGGGTGGGGTTGCCTGGCTGGCTACTATACCTCCTACACCTGACTTCTTATAATAAATACTGCTCACCCCTCACCCTGCATTAAGACTACAAATATTTTAAGGTAAGTATTGAGTGTACTGTGTGTATTTTACTTTTTATTGTTTTTAATGCCTAGTTCTATTGCTAACTTAATAAAATCAAATCAAATCAAATCAAAGTTTATTCTCTATAAGGATTACAATGCAGGGTTTACAGATTTTGGTTATTGTGTGGTTTACATGTAATAAAATACTAATTACAGAGGGGGCCACTAGAACACCTAGCAAGTCTAGGCATTTCAGGCAAACTTCGATTAATTCTTAACCCTAAATTATTACAAATTGTGGAGTAAGTTGACTGAATACTAAGTAACTAAATACTAGTTTGTGAGTTTAGCAATGTGAATGCTTTTGTTTTGTTTTGGCACAATACATAGTATATATGTCGGTGTAAACTTATCTGACATTTATATGCATTTATAATTGGAAAAAATGGCATTCTGCTTTCTAGTGATGTCGACTTTCCGCCTGTAGCCTGGAACCTAACCTGCCAAATAAGTGGGGTCCTACTGTAATGGATTTTCGATCACTTGTGTCAAGGTTTAGTAATTTCTAGATTATATACTAGGGTCTCATTGTTAACACCAGGTCCAGCAGGTTATTCCCTCTAGTTGGTTCTTGTATACACTGCTTTAAGAAGCATTCCTGGACTACTAAAAAGCCACAGGACTTTAAATTCTTTGTCAAAAAATTCCATTCGATTTGGGTGAAATTACAAATTTCTAGATTTATTAAGCTTCATGTTGTGAAGCCTCAGCAATTTTTGAGTGAAGTTTTCCATGGTAGCTTTATATGTTCACAGGTTACTGATGAATACCTAAGATCATCTTTTCATTTCCTCCAGAAAACTGCATCCCAGCAGATTCACTGTCAGTTCCTTCAGATTTCATATAATTTTTGATGCATCAGTTCAAATTTACTATGACATAAAGCACTACTCCATCACCTTTTTTGTTGTATCTGTCAGTGTGGAATGATTTGAATCATCATATGTGGCATTTGGCAAGCATGTTCAGCTTCTTCAATAATATTGATGTTTCCTGTACAAGCAGTTAATCTTTGTTTATGTTATTCCTAGTGATACAGCTGTTTGTACAGTATGTGCTGAGAAGGGTTTCCTTATCCTTAGCCCATTCATCTTTACATTTACCCAGTTTTTCTGAATGTGGTTTTTCTTATATTACTACTTTCCTTGACATCATCTACAAGTTTAACATTAATTATCTTGATAAGTGTAATTTTTAAAAACCATAGTACCCAAATCTTATATTTTTCCACACATACCCATACCTCTAACTTTCCTCAGTTTAAAACTTGATATACTCTAGCAACAGGCCCCCTCCAGTGAATCAGCCATCATTGCTATCCCTGCCCTAGATATATACACCCAATTCCTGTTGCAGAAGTGGTACAAATTATTAATAAATGGTGCTACAGTTGCTCTGGACAACCATTCATAACCTACATCACTCCTTGGCAAAAATGTCACATATAACAGGGATCTCTTCCTTTGTTTTAATTATATCTGTTGCTGTTCCATACCTGGTAAGCAGGTCCTCTCTTCTGTGCTTACCAACATCATTTCCTCCAGCTCTGAGGCAGATAAGAGGTTTGCTCCCATTACCTGTGATCATGCCAAAGGCTGAACTCTGGGAGTAGAAAAACTCGCAAAACTCATCAAAGGTGTATGCTTCCTAATCCGTTAACTCTAGCCTCCATTGCAGCCTCAGGAAAACACACCTGCCTCTTCCCATTCCTGATACAAAATGCCCTGTTCAATTCACAAATAACCCGCACACGGGAGAGAGGGGCTTATGACGACTTTCGGTCTGACTTAGACCATTTGTAAATGGTCCAAGTCGGACCAAAACATTGTCTTAAGCTCCTTTCTCCTATGTGTGGGTTATTTGTGTATTGTACCAGTCACGGTATTGTTCCTTTTTGTTCCTTGCCCTGTTCATAAAGCTATTTTGAGAATCCCTTGCTACAAAATATTCTTACAGTCACTAGTGGCCTTCTTTGTATCCTTGATGGCCAAACCACATTTGTCTGGCAGTACAGCAAAGGAATTTATAGTCCTGACAGCAGTTTTTCAACTTTCTTCATCTTCAGCTTTAATCTTTTCTTACAGACCAATTTCCATTTGTTGCGGCTGGTATCGCTGGTATCCTCTTCCTTGTTCCGGGGATAAATCATCATCATCTCTCTAAGAAGGTATACCTCCTTCCTAGCTTCCTCCAGCTTTGCCTTCACCTGAGGGTACAGGTTTTTGAAACTCAGAGAAGACATCCTTAACACTTCAGTATCAGTAGCACCGAGAATTCACAAGCACATCGCAGCACAAAGGTCAACTCACCACTGGCAAAGGTCAACTCATTATTACATGGGTCAAACTTAATCAGAAACAGTATGAGATTTAGGACTGAACTTTGAATGATATGGTTAGGTACACATGCCCATCCTCATGTGAACTTATTGCATGGAGGGCTCAGATTCATGGCAAGCTATTCCTAATACTAGCAGGCCAGTGCATTACCCACTGAATAATGTCACCTTAAAGAGATTCATGCAACTAAGTATATTTATTTACACCATAGGACGGTTAGCATGAGTCCCACTGTGACCACAATGCAAGTTTTTACAACAAATCTACAGCAGCATGGCTGTGGTGTGCTCGTGCTCAAGTCCTATTAAAACTATTATGAATGAATCAGCAGTTTTTAGTGACTTAGGACTTGACCTAGAGCACACTACCACAGCCATGCTAGTGTGAGATTCTTCTGTAAAAATCTACTTAGCTGTCATAGTGGGGCCCATGCTAACCTTCCTATGGTGTGTAGAAATATGTATACTGTACCTGGAGAGGGTTTCGGGGGTCAGTGTCCAACACGGCCCGGTCTGTGACCACCCTTTGTGGTAGATCAGGGCCTGATCAACCAAGCTGTTACTGCTGGCTGTATGCAAACATAGTTGAATGAATCTTATTAGGCCAGCATAGTCCAGTGGATAGCCCAATGGCCTGCAATGTTAGGCCTGGCCTAACATGGGTTTGAGCCTCTGTGTTGTGAGTTGTTTACAATTGTGTCTCCACAATTTATCAAGTCATCCATCTTGTTGTTGCTCTCTCACCTTGACTTTGTCTTATATCTATTTCTTTCTCTGGCACACATTGAAATAACTTTTTAATGTATCTTCCTTTATTTACTGCATTTAAAATTCATTTGTTTGGCTGGTGGGATGGACTGCATAATTTCTAATAGTGCCGTATTTTTTATTTGTTTACTGTCTTTGATAAGGTTGGCGAAGGTCGAGCTCTCTATAACTTGGGTAACGTGTACCATGCTCAAGGTAAACATCTGGGACGTATAGGGCCTCAGGAACCTGGTGGATTTAGTGATGAAGTTAAACACTGCCTTCAGAAAGCTGTTGAATACTATGCGTGAGTATTCCTATTGCTTTTCTTTACTGTATTGGATTCTTTTATAATAATAAATAATAATAATAATAATAATCGTATTAATTAAAACAATTTTATTATTTTTTTCATCAAACCAGCCGTATCCCACCAAAGCAGGGTGACCCTAAAAGAAAAACGAAAGTTTCTCTTTTTAAATTTAGTACTGTATGCAGGAGAAGGGGTTACTAGCCCCTTACTCTTGGCATTTTAGTTGCCTCTTACAACATGCATGACTTACAGAGGAAGAATTCTGTTCCACTTCTCCATGGAGAATTTTATTTATTTATTTTTTTTTTAACACTTCAGCAATTTCCCACCGAGGCAAGGTGACCCAAAAAGAAAAAAAGAACTTTCATCATCATTCAACACTTTCACAGTCACTCATACAACAGTTTAGATGTCCTTCCAAAATATGTACCAGTATTAATATTATAATTAATTATCACATAGGCTGTAGGTTTCATATGGGTGTAAAAAGCTTCATTTCTTTCTAAACTTTTGCAGAACAATAAATATTAAAAAAAAATGAATTCTTGTCTACCCTTTATATAACAGTTTACAGTATTATTAAATTTTGTATCTGTAAGTGAGTGGACATTTGCCACATATACAGCATTCCCATGCATATGCATTAGTTTATCTTCATATTCCTGCAAGCACCAACAGTCAGTTGTGCACGAATATTTTTCAGTATTTCTATAATTCTGTGAAGTTATATATACCATTTATTTTATAGTGCTAACCTGCGTTTGATGGAGGAACTCAATGATCGATCAGCTCAGGGTCGAGCATGTGGAAATCTTGGCAACACCCATTACCTCCTGGGAAACTTCACTCAAGCTATAAGCTACCACAATGAGGTGAAACACACATCTAACTATTCTAATGGACAGAAATATTGTGGATATGATGGCTGCTGATAGTAATGTTGAAATCTAGAATATGATAGTACCTTTTTAATTGTATTTGCATAGTAATACTATAGAAAGCAGAATCAAGATAAAAATTAATATCTTTTTTGGAATTTAGTTGTATTATGAAGGATGTGAAATAGTTAGATGTTTCAGTCAGTAATTGAATCATTTTTCTAATACATAATTCATTTCCCACTGAGGTAGGGTGAACCAAAGAGTCTTTCCAGAAGTGCACAAACATCACAGTTCTTAGCAAAATAAAGTAAATAAAAAATATTGCTGCAATCTTTCATTTAAAAAATACATTAGGTTGTGAATACTGCAGTGCTTCATTAAGGCCTCAGCATCTTTAGTGCAGGGATTTAGATAGTAATGATGTCCATCAAGAATTTTGTCCAGGTCCCTCATGATATCATAGTCCTATTTTTAAAGCGTCACAAATATTATGAATATTGTTGACATCACTTCATATATTTTATATTGGTATGTACATGTAAGTTCTTAAAAGTAAAATGTTATCATTTGTAATTTTCAGAGATTAGCCATTGCAAAAGAGTTTGGAGATAAGGCGGCAGAGAGGCGAGCACATAGTAATCTGGGAAATGCTCATATATTCCTGGGAGAATTTGAAACAGCAGCCGAACATTACAAGTAAGCACACTACTGTACAGTGAGCACAATCTTAACAGTACAATGATTAATCCAGTGTCATGATCAAACAGTCACTCTCAATGCAGCCAGATGACAGCAGTGCTTAGCCAAGATGCCATCACTTAAGACATATTTTAGGAGGACAATTAGTTCCTGTACATCCAGTTGATACAGAATAACCCTCTACAAGCTGTACATCTGCCAGCAACAGCTACACTCGCATGAATGTGATGTGGAACCCTGTTCATTGTTTTGCACTCTGGTGAGATTGTTGGTGTTTTATCTCAGTACCATGGCAGGTAAAATTCTACAGACTACTAACATTCAGTATGTTCCGTATTTTCTTGAAAGTAGATAAGGAATGTTACTGCTTGGCTTACATCTCAAGTTATAACAGGTTTCCATGGAAAAAAATGGGAATTGTGTCATAGTAATAAGGCTACTTGGTGGTTAATCCAAATGAAGTGGCTTAACCATTAGGTGATTTGTTCCTATGATATTTACAAATTGTAACTGGCTTGATACATAATAAAATGGCAGTAGCTGAGATAACATATTCATTGATGAAAGAAAGATGTAAGAATGTATTTGTGTGTATTATGCAGTGTAAAACGGTTAATAATTATAATCTATTTTATGCAGTGAACAAAATAGTTCAGAAACCATTGGAGTCTTAAAAAAATCATTTAAGGCTTGTCTAAGGAAAGAGATTAAATTTGATGACTAACAATTTTCTCTGTAGCTCACTGAATGGTAATAAAAATTATATCTTTATAGGAAAACCTTACAGCTAGCTCAAGAGCTAGGTGACCGTGCAGTCGAGGCCCAGGCGTGTTACTCCCTGGGTAACACTTATACACTTCTCAGAGACTATCCCATGGCCATCCACTACCATCTACGACATTTAGCTATAGCGGAAGAATTGACAGATAAAGTTGGTGAAGGCCGGGCTTGCTGGAGTTTGGGAAATGCTTACTCAGCCACAAATAATAATGAGAAAGCCCTTCATTATGCTACCAGACACTTGGATATTTCAAAAGAGGTAAGAAAACTTAAAGGCACACATTGCTTAATAAATTTCAGTTGTATGGCATTGAGATTTGTATCAGAGTAAAGGTTTACAAATGCGTGTGTAGAATAAAGCACCTTTAAGTGCTTTATTCAACCAAGGTCAAATTACAAGGAATTAAATTTTTTGTCCTTAACGTGAATGCTTGACTGTAGTCTATTTCTAATAAATGTCTTCCTTCACTAGGAAGTTTTCTCTCAAGCTTTAGAGAATGCTGTTGATATTTCACATGAAAAAAAAAAGCTTGAAAAAACTCATGAATAATTAAAACTATGTAAGATGCTCTTTGAAAAGTACAATGCCTGCACTTTAAAGTAGGGGTTTGGGATATTGGCAGTTTGGAGGGACTTCTCAACTGTTGTATCTGAGTGCCTCTGCAAAGACAGTGATTATGTTTGAGTGATGGTGAAAGTGTTGAATGATGAAAGTATTTTTCTTTCTTTTTGGGTCACCCTGCCTCGGGAAATTGCCGATGTGTTAAAAAAAAAAAAAAAAAAAAAGATGCTCCTCAATAAAATCTTTGTATGAAGCTTCTGAATTTTGGAGCTCAACTATAATAGGTGTCATAGACATGCACACGCTTTTAGCAGACTATTTGCCTGACAGCTTCGGAAAGTGCCAGGGCACCTTTTTGCATGGAAAACTGTTCCCCTTGCCATTCTGTCAAAGCCAAAAGACTAGCTAAATGATTGTGAAATTCCATACTTTATTGACTGGCCTGGTAACTCACTGAACTTAAATCTGGTAGAGAACATTTGGAACCTTGTTAACACTTTGACTGTCAAAGTCGTATTTATACGTCTTACGAGGTACTGTGTTTGACGTATTACCTGGAGTTTACCTGGAGAGAGTTCCGGGGGTCAATGCCCCTGCGGCCCGGTCTGTGACCAGGCCTCCTTAGGTCAGTGTCCCAGGATGCGACCCACACCAGTCGACTAACACCCAGGTACCCATTTTACTGATGGGGAACATAGACAACAGGTTGAAAGAAACACGTCCAATGTTTCTACTCTGGCTGGGAATCGAACCCAGGCCCTCGCCGTGTGAAGCGAGAGCGTTAACCACCAGGCCACCAGAGCCCTGTATATATACTCATAAATTCTAGCGGCTTTAAATCAAGCAGGAGAAAGCTGGTAGGCCCACATGTGAGAGAATGGGTCTGTGTGGTCAGTGTGCACCATATAAAAAAAATCCTGGAGCACGCAGTGCATAATGAGAAAAAAAAAACTGACCGTTTTTTTTAATTAAAATGCTGACTTTGTGGTCTATTTTCGTATAGTATTTATGGTTGTATTATCGTTTTCCTGGTCTCATTTGATAGAATGGAAAACATATTATAGAAATAGAGGTGATTTTGATTGATTTTACTATAAAAAGAACCTGGAAATGGAGCTCAAAGCAGGGGAAATGTTTGATTTTTGCCGATGTTCAAAAGTAAACAAATGATGCCATTGTCTAATAAATGTCCAACTAGCCATTCTAATATGCAGTCATGAATGGGTTGATGTTATTTATACAATTATTACAGTATTGCAGTAGTCTGCATAACAGTAAATCTTCTATTTTTTGTTTGAATAAAAATTCAAAATAGAAAGCAAGAGTAATATCAGAGGGGCCTGGAGACATGACTGATGAGCAAAGAAAATGTTATTTTAGAGCCAGGAATGTCTGCATTGTTCATTCTGGACATTATTTTGAAATTATCATATTTTTTAATTTTCGTGAAATTGGCCAAATTGCAAATTTCTGACCACGTTATTGGGTAGTTGACATCGGTAAATGGGCAGTTTCTTGTACTCAATCGATAGAAAAAATGGATTTCTAAAAAAATAGTTATGAGTTTGGTCGACTGGAACAATGGAATTAGCTGAAAATAGGGCTCAATATTTACAAATGGGCGAAATCGCCGATTTGTAAATATCACCGAGGTCGCTAACTTCGCGAGAGCGTAATTCCGTCAGTTTTCCATTAAATTTCGTGTTTTTGGTGCCATTACAATCAGGAAAAGATTCTCTATCATTTCATAAGAAAAAAAAAATTTTTTTTTTTTTTTTTTAAATTTTGCGACACCAGGAGACACTTCAGGATTGGGGGTTGCGACAGTCAAGGGGTTAAATATAAGCTTCATGGAATGGACATGTCCTCTAACCCCAAAAATCTTGAGTACCATTAAGCAATTTAGCCTTGTCAGTGCCAAGGAGACTTAAGGATTGCATCAAGATGAAGAATAATCCTACAAAGTACTAGTGTATTTGAGGAACCTATAAACATTTCAGTATTTTATTTTTAAAGCAATAGTTTATGGTGAGTGTTCTTATTATCTGTGTGATCTGTTTGTGTGTGTGCACATATTTATGAAGCCTACGTTATAGTATGTGCATGAGATTTTTTGTGTAAATTAATATGCTTTTAATAACTGTCAAATTTTTTTAATGATCTAATGTTTTACACATAATGCAATAACTTTTTAAATGTTTTTGGCCTGTTAAAAAAAAAATTCCAACAGAAATACTAAATACTGTAAAATCCTGAAAAGTCACATTAGAGATATATTAACCCTTTCACTGTCGGTGACGTATAGGTACGGCTTACAAGCTAGTGTTGGTGACATATTAATACGCCAAAATTCTAGTGCCTTCAAATCTAGCAGGAGAAAGCTGGTTGACCTACATGTCAGAGAATGGGTCTGTGTGGTCAGTGTGCGCAGTATAAAAGAAATCCTGCAGCACACAGTGCATACTGAGAAAAAAAAACTCCGACAGTATTTTTGGTTTAAAATACCGACGTTGAGGTTCATTTTCATATAGTATTTATAGTTTTATTCTCGTTTTCTTGGTCTCATTTGATAGAATGGAAGATATATTACAGAAATAGAGACGATTTTGATTGGTTTCACGATGAAAAGTACCTTGAAATTGAGCTCAAAATAGTGGAAATGTTCGATTTTTACTGATGTTCAAGAGTAAACAATCCAATATGTGTCTAACTGGCCAGTCTAATATGCAGTCACAAATGGGTTGACATTACAGTGGTCCCTCGTTTTTTGTAGTTCTCGGAAATCATAGGGATATTTTCGTATAGACATGGGCTCGCTAATCATAGGTTGACTCGCGAATAGTAGTTCGTCCGGGATGCGTACGCACAGTGTGAGCCGGGGCGGCCTCCCTACCCAGCCAGTCTGGCATTGTTTACCAGTGAGCGAAGGTCCCCTCACGTGCTCCTACGAAATACTGTATTTCATAATATTCCACTCATTTTAGTGCTTGCAAATACTAAATAAGCTACCATGGCTCCAAAGAAAGCTCCTAGTGCCAAACCTGTGGTAAAGAAGGTGAGAAATACGATTGAATTTAAGAAAAACATCAGCAGGAACAGCAACAGATCGCAGCTCAGAATCTGCAGAGGAGGAGGAAGAGAGATGGAAGAAGGTGCCTTCTTCAGAAATTAAAGAGATTTTTGTTATGTTGGGTAAGATGGAAAGCTTTATGGAGAAACATCACCCTGACAAGGTTGTTGCAAGCCATGTTGGCAACATGTACAGTGACAAGTCTTGGGCCATTTTAGGGAAGTGTTAGAGATGCCAGAAACCGAGCTCTCTCCACAGTTATTTTGCAAGACAGGACTCCAGTGACTCTCAAGGTGGTCCTAGTGGCATTAAGAAACAGAGAAGAGAAGCATCCCCAGAAAAGCAATTGGTACCTGAGGTGTTGATGGAAGGGGATTCCCCTTCCAAACTGTAAACAATCCAATCTCTCTCCTCCTCCAGTTTCCCATACACTAAGAAGAATCTCCAATAAAGGTAAATGTTATGTGTTAATGTTTCATTCATCATTTCCCATTGTATTGTTTATGTACTACATCTGTATTTCATGTAAAAATTTTTTTGTTTTAATACTTCTGGGTGTCAGGAACGGATTAATTGTATTTACATTATTTCTTATGGGGAAAATTGATTCGAAAATCGTAGATTTCGATAATAGTAGCAACTCCAGGAATGGATTAACTACGAAAAACGAGGGACCACTGTATTTATACAATTATTACAATAATGCAGTAGTCTGCATAACAGTAAATCTTTTATTTTTTGTGTGAATAAAAATTCAAAATGGAAAGCAAGAATAATATAAGAGGGGCCTGGAGACATGACTAATGAACAGAGAAAATGTTATCTTGGGGCTAGGAATGTCTGCATTGTTTGTTCTGGAGCCTATTTTGAAATTGTCATCTTTTGAAATTTGTGTGAAATTGGCCAAATTGCCAATTTCTGACCACTTCATTGGGTAGTTGAAATCGGTAAATGGGCAGTTTCTTGTACCCAATCGATAGAACAAATGGAGTTTTAGTGAAATAGCTATGAGTTTGGTCGACTGAAAATATGGAATTCGCCGAAAATAGGGCCGAAAGTGGACCAAATTACCAATGCATATATATCACCAAGATCGCTAACTTCGCGAGAGCGTAATTCTGTAAGTTTTCCATCAAATTTCTTATATTTTGCATCATTACCACCATGGAAAATTTTTCTCTGGGAAATGATCTTGAAATCCTATGACTGCTGTTATAATGGTTCAATTAAAAGTATATAGCATTCAATAAAAATATTTTTATAAAAGAAATGAAATTAAAGGAATTCTTGAGAGCACTCAGCAAATTTGCAATGGCTGCACTTTAAAGGAGGGGTTTGGGATATTGGTAGTTTTGGAGGGACATCTAAACTGTTGTATCTGAGTACTACTGCAAAGACTGATTACATATGAGTGATGGTGAAAGTGTTGAATGATGAAAGTTTTTTCTTTCTTTGTGGGTTTTTCTTTCTTTTTGGGTCACCTTGCCTTGGTGGGAAACGGCTGACTTGTTAAAAAAATCATTTTTTTTTTACTTGCTTGAAAGTTTGACGTAAACCACCCTCAGATAGGAGACAAGACTGGTCAGGCTGCAGCACAAATGAACCTCACGGACATCCGCAAAGTTCTTGGTCTTCCCCCAACTCCAGTTGATTCAGAATCTTCTGAATCTACAGAAGATGCCAAATCAAGAACTCGAAGGAAGTCTATGGAAAACATGGATCTTCTCAAGGTATTCCTGTGGCTTTTAAGAATAGTTGTCACTTTTCCAAGCATGAATGTATCTGTAATAAAATTTTCAAGTTATTTAACCTTTCTAAAAAACTATGTATTGACTTAATGTAGCCTGTTGATCACTGTGATGAGGTGATCACTTTAGTGTCTCTAGCCTCTCTCTTTTCAACAAGCTTCAATAGTTATCTGTAGTTGGGTGAAGTGATTGACATGTATAATTTCCTTTAATCAAAAAAGAATTTTCTGTAAATTATTAACTTGAAGTAAAGTTTTTTTTTTTTTTATAGATAGCCTAGTAGATAGTGATTACTGTCATAATAACGTATTTTGAGAAAGACGAGCAAGAGTTAAGAAATTATATGTTCTTGCTCAGAAAAGTGCCTTTTTGTCTTCGTCAGTTTTTTAACTAAGTGATCACTAAGAGTTTATGAATACACAACACAGTCTTGGATGTTTAATTTGGAAATTGTGATTCTTGAGTATAGATACAATAATCAAGGCTTTTCTGTTGAGCACAGAGGTAAGCTGAAGTTAATCCGTATACCCATGATAGATTCACTCAGGGCATGTAATAAGAGATGTCCTGCACTATGGCCATAGACACTACTCATAAAGGAGTTAAAAATACCCAGTTACAAGTTATGAATTTGCTGTCTTGGTACTTTACTTGGGTACTTTGAGTTTCCCACTTTGCAGTTATGACTGCCTCTGCCATTATTGAGGTGGTGGTTCACCAGAACTCGTGCATAGAATAGGGTTCTGTGTAAGGTTCAGTGGATCAAGAACAATATGAATCAATCAGTGTTCAGTGATGTAATTGATGCCATGAGAGTTGAAGATCCAGATAGATTTTTGTTGTTAATTTAGCCCATCCTACAAATTATATGCAATATGTGACATTAATACAAATCCTTCAGAATACAATAAAAGCAAAAAGGAACAATATCATGACTGGAACAATACACAAATAACCCGCACATAGGAGAGAGGAGCTTATGATGACGTTTCGGCCTAACTTGGACTGTTTACAAAGTCGAACTGAATCGTCTTGTCATCACAAGTTCTTGTCTCTCTTATGCATGGGTTATTTGTGTAATACAAAAGGAAAATACATAGATAAGATACCTATAAGAATATGCATGCAGCACCTGGACTGGATTCAAAGAAATTTTGAAAGGGCATTAATACACCTGATTACTGACTTAATGGAAGAAAAATAAGCTATACAACCTATTTTAACATAAGAAATATACTCCTGCTCTAAGCAGGAGGATATTTCCTATTTCAGTTATTAGACAATTGTGACAAAAGTACAGAGGCCTTGGAAGACAACAAGATGATGATGTAATCTACACAGATTTTGCAAAGGCATTTGATAAATATAATCATGGAGTAATAGCTCATAAAATAAGCTCAGTGGGTATAACAGGAAAAGTAGGAAAATTAATATATAAATTTCTAGCACACAGATCACAAGAATGGCAGTAAACTAAACAAGGTCCAATCACAGCAAATTAGAACATTCAGTACCCAGAGGCACAGTCCTAGTACCATTATTGTTTCCCATCCTCATAGTAGGCATAAATAAGAACAGTAATCACAGTTTCATATCTTTTGTAGAAGATACCAAATAAGTATGAAAGTTACCTGGGTAGAAGACAGGAAAATTATGAACATATCAGCAAAGTCTTCCAGTGGGCTAATGAAAACATGACATTCAATGTTGATGAGGGGCTCTAGATCTAAGGAATTGGACCTTTGCTCCAATTCATTGAATTGGTCCTGAATGCCATTCATTGTACTGGTCCTGAATGCCGTTCATTGAACTGGTCCTGAATGCTGTTCATTGAACTGGTCCTGAATGCCGTTCATTGAACTGGTCCTGAACGCCTTTCATTTCCCATGGGTTTAATGCTCCCCCATGAATGTAATAATAATAATTAGGTATGGGATGAATGAAGACCTTAAACAAGCATAGTATCCAGACCCTGGCAGACCATATCATAGAATGTAAGGAACAGGTAAAAAACTTAAGAATAATTATGTTAGATGATCTGTCATTTGAAAAACACAATAAAACAAATGTTGCAAAGGACAGGAAAATAACTAAGTGTATTATGAGAACTTTCAATACAAAAAGGATGTCAGTGAGGGCACTTTTTGAATCACCTGTACCCCTCATGATTTGAATATAATAGTTCTGTGTCCACAGAGCTTTTCAGAGCAGGAGAAGTAGCAGAGCTGGAAAATGTACATAGGTTTAATACTGCCTGCATAGAATTATTAAAACATAAAAAGTATTGGGAATGCCTCAAAGCACTTGGATTATTATCTCTGGAATGGAGAAAAAAAAGATACCTGATAATATATACATGGTCTCTAATGTGTACACTGCTCTAACAATGTACTGGTGTTAAAGATATGGAAGAAGGTGTGAAATAAATCCAATGGGCCGTGGATATATTTAGAGAACACAGCATCAACATTCATGGTCCAAGACTCTTCAATATATTACCAAGAGGTATCAGAAATATTACTGGAATGAAGACAGAAGTTATCAAGTGCTAGATCACCTGGGTTGTGATGACTATGTGGGTCTGCAAGCCACTAGCACAAACAGCCTAGTTGACTATGCAATCAGTAGGGAAATCTGGCCTCAGGTTGGGCTGCGAGATTAGAAGCTTTCGAATTAGTCACTGGTATGACTGCCACCTCTAATGTCAGCTATTATGATTCTGGCTGTCATGACTGGCAGGTGTCATGTGATTATATCTGACAGTAGCATAAAAATATGGGTGGAAGGGGGATACCCAAACTAAAAGACAGAAATCTGAATTACTGATGCTGACAGACTTATCCTTCATGATTTATTGGACAGTACGAAAAAAAAAAAAGTTTTTCATTTTTCAAACCATTGTATTATTTCATGATCCTAAAAAGTCTAATAAAAAAATTCTAACATGGTATGTGCTACTAATCCCAAAACAAATTAGGCAAAATCTACCCATGAATTAGTGTTTTTCAATCTATCCTTCATACAGTTGGATGCTACAAACAGCAGCTTGCTTGCTTGCTATTTCTTCTTACTGTAGTAAACTGAGCTAGGCAGCCTCCCATTTTATCTAGCTAATGTTTTTTAGAATTTTTATCATTCATTTGATACCCAACTTGTATGGTAGAACTGTATCAAAACAGTTGGAAAAGAAAATTCGGTGTACACTAAGATCAAGCATCCACCACAATATATGGCCCCATACTAACTGGATATTCTCATGTATCCTGTGGGGATGTGTCTACTCAAGCTATAATTTTACAGTTGTACACGTTGGTGACATAATAGGGTGAAAGTGTAAATAAGATAGGTGTGTGTTAGAAGTACAATGCCTGCACTCTAAAGGAGGGGTTTTGGGATATTAACAGTTTGGAGGGTTATGTTGTGTATCTTTATACGTATATGCTTCTAAACTGTTGTGTCCTGAGCACCTCTGCAAAAACAGTGATTATGTGTGAGTGAGGTGAAAGTGTTGAATGATGATGAAAGTATTTTCCTTTTGGGGATTTTCTTTCTTTTTGGGTCACCCTGCCTCGGTGGGAGACGGCCAACTTGTTGAAAAAAAAAAAAAAAGTGTGTTAGAGGGTTCTGGACTATGGAACACAGGCACCACCATGTAACCAATCAGCTGACTACCCCTACACATTGCCATATTTATATTTTGAGAGAACTCATGCCTTGATAGGCAAGGAAAAGCAGTGTTTACCCTTTATATAGCTGTGTAACAAAATGAAGAAAAACACATGGGCAAGTCTTATCTTACAGCTGCTGACAGTAAGTTGAGGGTGCTAATGGAACACCTATTTCCTCTAATGTAAAGCTGTCTCTGGTGTTGCCCAGAGCATATGTTGTGGCCAAGTCCCTCCTTACTCTTGCACTAAACATGATATTATTGGCCCCTTCATCCATAGATCATACCAAATGAAAGTTGTACAGACAGTTCACATATGTGATAGATAATGAAATCTGCAGTCTCACAATTTTGCTGGAACCAAAGCCAGAGTCAGCTCCTTTTGTACCCCTCCATGACACTGCCTTCCACATTATTAGTTTATTTCAGTACTGTTTATTATTCTTGGTTATTACTTTTTCATATGCATTTTTTTTTTTCAACAAGTTGGCCGTCTCCCACCGAGTTTCTTCTTATTTTTAGTAATCTGTACAGGAAAAGGGGTTACTAGCCCATTGTTCCCGGCATTTTAGTTGACTTTTACAACACGCATGGCTTATGAAGGAAAGATTCTTTATTTGAACTGATGATTTTTATGGGGTAGGTATGGCGAGTTCCCATTTGTTTGTTGCAGTTTGGTCAAGAAATGTGTATTTTAATTCTACAATTGTGTTCACATGTACTGAGAGCAACAGCACATCAAGTCATAAAACCACTTGCCTCCACTTATATGTTCACACACACATCTATTTGATGTCCAAGCCCATAACTTACAAAACCTCCTTAACTCCTCCCTCCATCCTTTCTTAGGATGACCCCTACCCCTCTTTTGCCTCCAGTACAGACATACACCTTCCAAGTCATCCTGTTTTGCTCCATCTTCTGTAAATGTCCAAAACATCTCAGTAACCCTTCTTCAGCCCTTTGGTTAATACTTTTAGTAACTCCACACCTCCTAATCTCCAAGCTCTGAATTCTCTGTTAAATATTCATGCCACACATTGCCGCTTCTCTTCAGAAACTCCCAAAAGCACCATGTCATCAGCAAAAAGCAGCTGTGACAACTTCCACTTTGTATTAGATTCTTTATCTTTTAATCCCACTCCTCTCTTCAACACCCTTGCATTCACTTCTTTTACAACTCCATCTATAAATAAGTTAAACAACCTTGTCTAAGGCCAACATCTCTGTCTAAGACCTACTTTTACTGGAAAATAATCTCCCTCTCTTGTACATACCTTAACCTGTGCCTCACTCTCTTGATAAAAACTCTTAA